CATGCCAATTGGAAGAGTTGGTGGAAAGAGTTGGTGTGGATGCTAGGAGGAAGCTTCCTCCTTTGATGTCACCCATGACATCAAGAGGAGGTAGTTTGATGTCACCAATGACATCAAGAGGAGGTCTTTACCTCTATAAATAGATGCACTCCTTCACTTGTAGAAATCATCCCAAAATAATACAATACATTGTAGTGAGTAGAGAGTTAAGAGAGAAATTCTCTTAAGTGTAATTGGGAAATCTCCCCTTCCTTTGTTAATATTAAAAGGGCAATTGTTCTCTGGTGGACGTAGGATTATTTTGATCCGAACCACGTTAAATCTTGTGTTCTTTCTTTTACGTTTCCGCTAACATATGTCCCACCATCTTCACATATATGGTAGAAATTAGAACACACATGCATATAGCTTTCCACGAAAACGTTGGAAATTAATGCATCATCAATTTAATTCCTAAGTACATATCTCTAGCTACATTTGTATAAGTTAATCCAAAAATAAAATAAATATAAAAAGGAATAGAAGAGGACAAACATAGTACAGAGGAAGAATTTTTTTTTGTAAATAGTAGTAGTGGCAGGGATTCCAAGGAATGTAGCTATATTTTTGTAGAAGGTTCAAGCGAGTTGGACCTTGTATAGCCAGTTAAATCCTGTCAAGTTGGAGAATTTTTGTATCTCCTTCTATGTTTTGCGAGGCGGGGCATTATGTCCCCTCATCTTTTGTAATTTGGATTGTTTTAATGATAGGGTCACGCCACCTTACGGCGTAATTAAACCAAAAAAAAAAGGAATAGAAGAGGATGTAAGCATTGATGTCTATTTCAGCACTTTGTAAAACCAATAACAATTTTTGCACTATTGTTACACAAACTGAGTTCTGTTTGTTATGAGAATATCTAGATTAAGAGATAGTCCACCAACATTTGTTTCTGAAGAACATGAGGAATTGCCTTTCTTAGACCAAAGCCAAATCTTTGAAACAGAGAAGCTCTCTCCTTTAGTCCTAGCACTGATCTTTTTTCCTTCTGTTACTGTAGTAGCCCCAAAATTGTTGTTCTCACACTTAGCTTTGAGAATCTTCACATTGGGCAAAGCTATCTGCAATTCTGAATCACCAACCACATATTGAAATGAACCCATTGAGAAACATCTCCTTGCATTCAAATTGCTGCTGCTAATTTCCCCTTGACTTTTGTCTTCATAATTTTCACTCCCTTCATTTACATTTTTGTACTTACCTAATCTAACTGAGAAAACTCTCATTTCTCCAACATTTTCTTGCATGAGTACTCCTGGCTTGTGACTCTGTCTAATTCCATCTTCCAAATGGAAATTCCAATGTTCTCTTGACTCATAATTAGAGCTAAACAAGGAGTTTCCCATAGAAATTCCTGAAGTAATTACACCTCTACATAAAGGACAAGTTGAGTTTGATAAGAGCCATGTGTCTATACAATGGATGTGAAAAGCATGACTACACAAAGGGAGCAATCTGAGTTTGTCATGTTCTGAAAATTCACATAAACAAACAGCACAATCAAATGGCTCCTTCAACCCCATAATATCCTTATACAAAAACACAGGCAGAGTATCAATGATAGATTGGTCTAAACCAGAATCATGTTGCCGAAAGAGCTGTTGAAGCTGCCTTTGTAGAGCCTGAGAACTACTTGATTCTGGGATTCTATTGGAATGAGAAAGTGATGAAAAAGAAGGCATCTTTAAACAATACCTAATCAGAAGATGAAGAAGACCAAAGACAAAAAATAAAACAGCAACAACTACTATTACCAACAGGAGAATTGGGCTGATTCTGCTCATGGATAACAATTTGTTGTCAAAATTTGCTAGTAAATCTTTCAGAATCCTGACTTCTAACTCTGGTTAGTGAAAAGTGGAGAGGAATTAGAGCACAAAAAGCTTAAAAAGTTTTCAAAATAAATCATTATATTACTACTGGCATGCCATTTTCAGAAAGATGTGGGGTAAAACAAATCTTTAATAAGCTAAGCACCTTCCAAGAAACTTGCTTTATTTGAATAGAAGAATATATAAAATGAAGACTGATCTTTCACTGATGGCTTATGAAAGACTTGAGGTAAAGAGAGTATGAAATAGACAAGAAATGTCCAGAATTACACAAAAATAGAGGCAGCATACAAAGATTATCAGAAGGAATAAAAATCTAGAAGTAGCAGTTGACCTACCTCTACCCTGGAGAGAAAAATACAGTATATGGATGGACTTATGTATGCTGGATTTGATAGGTAAAAGATATGGCCATAGAAATATGACCAAAATAAGTGATTTGCTCCCTATTGATAAGTTGCTTGTCAACACTGTGCTTAGATGTGGGCAAAACAGAACAAGAAAAAGGGAAAGGTGAAGTTACTAAAGACAAGGCCTGATGACAATGCTTCCCAGATTATAAATTCAGTTTATGACATAAACTGACTTTTTCAAGGATTGCCACATGTGTCTTTGTCACTGCTGTCCTTTTTGTGTATTTGTGGATGCAATTATCTTATTCCCTGGACAGCATTGTCGTCTGTGGCTTAATTGAAACAATACATAATACTTGGTTCATTTCTGTCACTTTCTTTGGGTTTTTAAGGAACTAATTAATGTTTCTACTACTTTTATTTTATACTATTGGAAATTGCATTCATCACGCAGCCTTGAACAAAAACTAGCTTTCTAAATTAACAACTAGGGTAGTCAAATGGTACAAATCATTGCAATTAATGATTATGAAATCTCCAATTCACATTGCTTTTTCCATCTTATAGTTTGATAAATATTAGACAGCCCACAAAGAATACATGGCATAATTAATTGGTCCACCACTTTGCTTGTGTCCATGTATTATTCAAGTGATACACATTATTTTCTTCTTTCATTGCCTTCTTGTCAAGGCAGTTTTCTACTCATCCTGGTAGGTCTACTTACCATATAAACTTTGGCCTTAATTATGCATTTTGGCATCCCTTCTCAATGATGGTCCCGTGATAGAGGGATCCCAAAAAGAAAAAGGTCAGAAAAGATAGGTTGGTAATTGGTAAAGATTCCTCCATTTTTTACTCAACTTCTCCTTTTCTTTTTAATTATCTGTATTCGAAATTAACTGGCCTGACCGACTAATCTGGATTTGCATCGAGTGGACCCAATAGATTACTATAATCATCCTTGACCTGAGTTGACTCTTAGGAACTGTATATGATGACAAAGAAGCGCATGGACAAGAAATTATACAGTAAGGTGTCTATTTATGGGTGGTTCCCGCACGCTTTGCCATCTTTGTTACGTAACAGAATCATTGAAGATGTTGAATTTAACTAATCATGTGGGGCAAGTGATTTTAACTAATCTATGTGATGTTTAAAGCCCGACCGACAAAAGTAGTTGGAAAACTTGTCTGCTTCTTCATTTCTTCGCACTTGCCCAATTGAAAATCTAGTGATGTTTCTTGGTCAAGATGGATGATAGTTCAAGAACCATTTTAAGGTCTAGTTAGGTAAAATTAAGTTTTGCTGGAAATATTTTAAAGGGTCATTAGGTTATCTAGAAGTAGAAGAGGCAGTTCACTAAATACTGTGACTTATGAGCTGAGTAGTTGTGGAAATATTTGCTCACAATCTAGCTAGATTCCATGTATAGTGATTCACATTTAACGCATAAATCTAACTTGTACCTCTACACCTGTTAAAGATTTACTATTATTTTTTGCTAACCAGAAGAATTTTATTAATTACCAAGTAAAGAATTACAATCCCAGCTAGATTAAAGCTTTGAAAAGACATAAACTCCATGAATTGAAGTTCTTCTAGAATTTGATAAACTTTCATTTAAAATGCATTCTACAACAAATGATAGAGAGTTTTCGATGTTAACAACCTCCAATTTCATTTTGGATTAAGAAACTATCATTGACAATTGAGTCTAAAATAATCAGTTTTATTGAAGTGATAGTTAGTCATTAGCTGTCACCGTGATTTTTTTAAAATTAAATTACTTCAAACACCCTCATAATATGACACTTGTGGATCAATCCTTTGTAATTTTAAAATTAAGTATTTAAACCCTTGATATTATATAAGCCCATAGTCTATCCTGACGACTCTTGAGGCAAAAGAGACTATACTTTGAAAATTAAACACCTAACACATATCCTTATTAAAAGAGACACCTAAAACCTTTATGATTAGCCATATATTTGTGTACAGTTAAAGGAAACGGCAAAAGAAGAGGAGAATGTAAACCAATATAGTACTGCAAGTCCATAAACCATTCTGATTACAGTTAAAGCAAACGACACTATGCTAAAATTCCACAATAAACACAAGAAAGCAAAAGAATCTTGGTTCTTAAAAATATACCAGTTCATGTGAATATTAATCAGACCTCACTGCTGAATATGGACAAGGATTTCTCGTCATCTTCCTTAATAGAATTGATGATTAAAGCAACTTCCTTCATGTTTGGCCTTGCATCTGGTGATGGATTTATGCATTTGAGAGCAACTTGCAACAGATTGATCATTCTTTCTTCATTTGCACCATCTCTAATAAGGGACTTGTCGAAAACTTCCCCAGTCCATTCCTCTCTAACCACTGAATTTACCCACCTAGCCAAATCATTTCCACTAGCCTGAACAGGCTTTCCTGTGAGCAATTCAAGAAGAATCACTCCAAAACTATAAACATCCATCTTGAAAGCGTTACGTGCACTAATTGCAACCGAATCATCTTCTCTGATGCTATGATCGCTTTGAACAACAAATGACTGGTCTTGATTGTTGACCATTAGACCATACTCGCTGATACAGGCTTCCATGTCTTCGTTCAGCAAAATATTGGTGGATTTCAAGTTTCCATGAGGAATATCATCATTCTGAAGGCCTTCATGCATGTAAGCTAAGGCCTCTGCTACACTGGCCGCAATGCCTAGTCTGCTCGCCCAGTCGAATGTTTGGCTGCCCTGAGAGGCTGAAATGAACCGTTATGAAGTAATATACAAACTCAGTACCTCATTATTTTTCTAGATTAAGTTATACGCAAGGATAGTTTAAAAAATATATTTACACAGTCAGGTCAGTTATAAGGTACTAATTAGTAAAGAGTTTAAGTTCTATGCACTAACGATGTTAAAGATAGTAAACTAACCTACGATTACCTGATACTAATAACGTATATAACTTATAATTTTATTTTTAATTTTATCTTTTGCATGTGACTTTTCTTTTCTTCATATGTCTGGGCAAAGCTCCTACAATGGCAAGGGGTCTGTATATGTTGAATTATGTCAAATTTCCATCCCACATCGGTGGGTTAAGGAGTTGGTGGGAAAC